GGGGGTCCAGTCATGGGGCCTGAACTCTGGGCCTGGGCGCTGTCCCTCAGCTCTTCAGCTCAAGGCTAGCGCTCTACCACTTGAGCCACAGCACCACCTCCGGCTTTTTTCTTTTTGTTTAGGTGGTGCTGAGGAATTGAACCCAGGGCCTCAGGCATGCAAGGCAAGCGCTCTACCACTGAGCCACCTTCCCAGCCCCTAGGTTCATGTTGTCTGATGGCTCTAGAATCTAGTTTGGAGTTCACCTTGTCAGTAGCTGAGTGACACCAGGGAGGTTGCTCCCATCTCTGGACTCTGGGTCTCTCACTGGCCATGGAGTTACCAGGGGTGTTGAGGGCTAGGAACCACAAATGGGGCTAGATGGGTTCCCTTGTGCTATCTGGAGGTGGAATTGAGTCTTTATGGCAGATAGATATAGGTTCTATTGTGGGGTGAAGATGAGTAGAAGACTGGAGATCTACTGTAAGCCAGTGAGAGTCCCTGCGTTCAGTCCCCAGTCTCTCGCTCACACACAAGATGGGTGGCATGCTTAGGTCTGAGGAGGATGGTGAGTATATAGTTCTGGAATGAGGAGTGAGAGTTGGAAATGCCCACCTTAACCAGGCTTGTGAGCCTAAGGAAAAGAGTAGATCTCAGCCTGGGAAGACAGAGACAGTCTTGTCCAGTCTGATGATTGAGGAAGGGCACCATGGTCTAGCTTCCAGCTGAGAGAGAAGACATGTTCTGGCTTTGGAGGTCCCACCCCCACCCTGTGCCGCCCCATAAAGGCAGAGGCAGCATAACCTCTACCTTCAGTTAGCCTCCCTCCTATGAGGGAGGTCCCCTGCCCTTGAGGGCCTCTTAATGATCCAATCAGATCAGCCTAGGGTTCCCACATCCTGGTCTTGCCCTCCCAGTGCTGGGAGCGCAGTTAAGGAACCAAGGGTAGAGAAGGACTAAAGCTAGACTGTGCTGGTATGTGTTTGGAGCTTCCTGAAATGGGGAGAGGGTGGGAGAGGAATGGGGCGTTGACCCCAGTGTGGCTGTAATAGAGATCGACCTGGGCCAGGAGACAGACAAGTGGCATCAGGCGCCAGGCAGAGCAGAGAGGAAGTTAGAGCAGCCAGGCGGCAGGAAGTGGGCAGCATGGCTGTGTGAGCAAGTCAGGACCAGCTTGGGGCTGGGGGGGGGCAGCTAGTCAGGGGTGTGGTTAGAGCAAAGGCTGGTGGTGGCTGAGGGAGAGGCAGGTGCTGCCACTTGGGGCCTTCACAAATTCCTTCCAGAATCTGTGAATCCCACCCTACTTCCTCAGCCACCTTCAAGAAGGAGGGTACCCCTGAGGGGTCTGTTCATCCTTGTCCTGTTTGGCTTTCAGGGAAGGGTTAAATGTCAGCTCCAGGACAGAGGGTCCATTTCAGGAAATGGAATTTGATTCTTGGTTTGGTTGCCCTCCCTCCAGTCTGGTGTAACATACTTTCCTGCATATACATTTCAGGTGTCAGCATGGTGACTCACCCACCCTTGGGGAAGAAGCCCCCCCTATCCCCCCCCCCACACACATACAAGGAAAGTTTAGGAGAGGTCACCTGGTCTCTCCTTCCACTGTAGAGTCTGATAGCTCCCATTCCGGAAATGGCTGTCGGGACCTGCCAGGGGCTTGGTGGGTTGAAATGTTAGTGGACATGGCCACATCTGGATCTCATCCTCGCCCCCATCAGAGAGGTTGGAGATGTGAGGGAAAGTGTACCCTAGAGCCCTAGCCAGCCGGCACTGGCTTCAGTGTGGCCTGCCCCTTAGTGCCCCCCTCATCTCTGCTTCAGTCAGTTCACACCCACATTTGGGACACACCTCTAAACTGAGCTGTAGTGTCAGCCTCTGGATTGGGCTGGCCACCGGAAGACCCTCCCCTGTTTAGGGTTCCCAGAAGACAGGGCTGTCTGTGTCTCTTCCACTTCCTGTCCTACTCTCTCCAGTTCCTCCCAGGACTAAGATGGGGGAAGGGTGGGATGGGCAGCAGATGGCAACCCTCTCCCGGCTGCCAGCCAGATGGATTCCAGACTCACATCTGGGGGCCTTACTCCTCAGAAGGTGCTGAAAATGGGGGCCTTTGAAGCATCTTTGTCCTGAGCCTCAGAAGACCACTGGGCAACTTTGGCTCCAGCCTGGGTGGGCACATGGGTCTAGGTGGGGCCGCTGGAGAGTAAGGTACCCTCCTTTTTCTCTGCTGGCATGTCCTGTCTGCTTTCCCTCCCTGCTCTGGGTGTGGGAAGCGAGGATGGATGGGGTAGGCAGCTTTGCCCAGACAAGTTACCCCCAGGCTGTCCAGAGCCCACAACCCCTAGCATTGCCCCTGGCTGGATGGTAGAATGGAAAAATTGCACCCACTGGTGCCAGAAAGTGCTGGGACCCTTGCCAGGAAGGCTGGCAATGCCCAGCTAGCAGAGAAGGCCTAGGTGGGTGGCCAGGCACCATCTCCCTCCCCTTTAGGCAGTGGGCAGTACCCGCCTCAAAGTCTCTCTCTTTACAAGGCCTTCTCTTTACTGCTAAGGAGTGGCCCAGGTTACCTGCAGAGGTGCTAGGGCAGGGGCAGAGGGCAAGAGAGGAAAAAGACTTTGGCTACTGTCCAGGAACTGGGCTGGAAGGCAGCAAGCCAGCTGCACCTTCCATCCCCAGGCTGAGCGTAGAGCATGGGACAGTAGAGACCGTTAGAGGGGCTGAATTCCCCACCTTGGAGAAGCCCCTTGGGACCTGTCCTAAGTGTTTTCAACCTTCCTTAGGGCTGCTGCCCTCTGGGTCCAGGGAAGTTACTCCAGCTTGAGGCAGCCCTACCATTCAGGCTCCCCATTCCAGGCTTCTGGTACTCAGAGGGGATCAGAATAGAATTCTAGGTCCACAGGTCAAGATGGAAGGGAGCATAGTAGTTCTAGTCTTGAGGTGGGGACATTGAGGTCCCATCACCCATGGTGCTGAAGTTGACTTAGAGCTCCTGATTTGTAGCCCTTGTTCTCTCTTACCAGCCTGACATCATGCCCATCATCCTAGCTCCCACTTCTGGGCACCCAGAACCAGGGATGGGACTCAGGAAGAGGCATTGCAGCCCCTGAGAACATAAAGGGAAAGGCCTGAGGGTGGTGGGCAAGCACTCACTCTTATGACCCTGTGCCTCAGAGATCCCTGGCCGTTGGATTACCCGTTCTACACCCTCAGACGTCTCAGACAGTACCGCTCCCAGCACCCAGGAGCCCGAGGTACCTCCAGAGAAAGATATTGTCGCCAGCACGGTGGCAGATGTAGCTACCACAGTGATGGGCAGCTCCCAGCCTGTAGTGACCCGAGGCACCACGGACAACCTCATCCCTGTCTATTGCTCCATCCTGGCTGCTGTGGTTGTGGGCCTCGTGGCCTACATTGCCTTCAAGAGGTAAGAGAAGAGGCATGATGGGGACTTGTTGGGGATGTTTGCTCTGAAATGTCCTGAACACATGCCTGTTCTTTTAACTCAACCCCAAACAAAGCTCATCTTCACCCATCATACACTGACCCACTCCAGGGCATGGCTGATCAGTGGTGGTGAGGGAGAAACATGGCCTGGCTTCAGCCCCTTCTGACTCTCAGGCTGCTCTCCCTCTCTCTCTCTTTCTTCCCTCTCCTTTCTCTCTCCCCTCCTCAGTTCCCCACCCCTCAGCCACCTAAGATCTTCCCCCTCCCCCCAATGCCATTCATCCCAATTACCTGGGTGTACGTACATGTTTCTTTTCCTTCTCCCATGTTGCCCTGGGGCTTTTGTGGCACATACATAAGGAATCCAGGAAGTACTCTTGGGAAGCATTTTAAAGTTTCAAATGCATGTTCCATTCTTTTTTTTTTAACTCATCAAAGAAATACATGCTTGTTTAGAACAATGAGAACAAGATCAGTGCCCAAACCCTCCCCCCATGTTCCCCAGCTCCACACTGGATCAAACCCAGGGCCTTATGCATGCTAGGCAAAGGCCAGTATCTTCTAAAGCTTGAAGTAAAAGCCTCCCTTTTCCTTCTCCAAATCCTACTCATCTCCTAGTTGGAATATTTGGAATGGAGACTTCCCAACTATTTTCTGGGCATTTGTTAATATAAACACACACTATATGTAAGTCTTTGTATCATTTCATGTAAATATGCATTTTTTTGTCTCAGTGGGATCATTCTGTACTTATTGTACAATGTGCTTTTCCACTTAATCCCCCTCAGGAGAATCTTTCTCAGAACAAAGATTATCTAATCATTTGCAACCATTCATTCAATAATATGGATGGGTCATAATTTATTTAGCCAAGCCTTTCTTGATGGACATTTGATTTATTTTCAATTTCTGTTATTGCTTATAATTGTTGAAGAAGTGCTTGTATCTACATATTGCTGCACACATGTGGGAGCATTTAAGCAGGCTAGATTGGGGAAAGTAGAATTCCTGAGAAGTCTGTACTATTTATTCTGTGAACCTTTGGAGGATGTTTGCAGAGTGCCGCACCCTTTCTCAAGCAGTTGTTGTTGTTTGGGGCCAGGGTGGGGGAGGGGATGTGTAAAGAAATGGGTACCTTAGGTGCTGTGGGCACCTGCATGCCCCTTGCTCCTCTGGCAGCTCAGCCAGACTGACATTGCAGTCCCTCACCTGTTCCCTGGCTGGCCTGTCTCCTCCCGGCCCCACCCCTTCCAGGTGGAACAGTTGTAAGCAGAACAAACAAGGAGCCAACAGCCGGCCTGTGAACCAGACGCCCCCTCCTGAGGGAGAAAAACTCCACAGTGACAGTGGCATCTCTGTGGACAGCCAGAGCCTGCATGACCAGCAGCCTCATACACAGACAGCCTCAGGCCAAGGTGAGCTGCACTGAGCTGGTGTAATTAAGATTCAACTGTGGGAGTGAATGCCAGAGGACTGGCTAACTGTCTCGGTCGGATGGTGGGAGAGCCAGGTTTTGGGGGATGGGAAGAATGGGAAAGAGAGGTGCTTTTCAATGACTTGGGAAATTGAGGCATTTAGCAATGAAACATCCAGGCTCATCATGTTAATTGTCCCCCCCTAGGGGCTCATTAACTGTCCAAACTAGTTGTAATTAGCCTCCTGCCTTGGACTTCTGGGGAACAAGTTGGTTAAGTGGAGACCTTAATTAGTGGTCCATAGCCGGGCTCCAGGACACTTGCTGTACTTGTCTGGAGCTGAGGAGTCCTGTCTTCTCTGTCTTGATTAATTGCTGGGGGTGAGGGGCTCTGTGGAAGGGATAATGCTGACCCACAGTTGAGGAAGTATCAAATGGGTGAGACAGCCTTCCCCAGGCCCCTCCCAGTCCTGGCCCCATGCAGGACTGCGAATCCCAGACTGGGAGAAGAATGCCTTCTAGGGTCTTAGCCCTGGCACCCAGGAAATGGGGGAGGTTCAGGGAGAACCTGACCACCTCTGGTTCTCTGCAGCCCTCAAAGGTGAAGGAGGCCTGTACAGCAGCCTGCCCCCAGCCAAGCGAGAGGAGGTGGAGAAGCTGCTCAACGGCTCTGCGGGAGAAACCTGGCGGCACCTGGCGGGTGAGCTGGGCTATCAGCCTGAGCACATAGACTCCTTCACCCACGAGGCATGTCCTGTCCGCGCCCTGCTGGCCAGCTGGGCCGCCCAGGACAGCGCCACACTTGATGCTCTTGTGGCCGCTCTGCAGCGCATCAAGCGACCTGATATAGTGGACAGCTTGTGCAGCCAGTCCACAGCCACCTCCCCAGTTTGAGCCTGCCCACCGGGGAGCCCGGCCCCGCCCCCACATTCCAAGGACTGATGCTCCAGCCGGTCCCCATGGAGCCTGTACCCCTGGGGTGGGCCAGCAGTCAAGAGCTGAGCTCCTCTGTGCAAGGTCTCCAAGGCCAGGCCCCCAAATGACAGCCCTGTCACTGCTCCCCTGAGTGACCTCCTTTGCTTCTGATCACACATCTTCTCTAGGAAGAGAGGGGATCTTCCCTGTTTCTGCCCCACCCCATTGCCAGCTCAGGCCTTCCCTCCCTTGTCTCACTGCTGAGTGGGCTGGTCCCTCCCACCGTAGTGGTGTCAGATGGGGCACTGACACCAAGGATCGTACTGGGGGGCAGTGACAAGACCCCAGACACTCAGAAGGCGGTACTGAGGAACCAGAGCCATGGACTCTACACTGTGAACTTGGGGAGCAGGGAGCCTCAAAGTGGCCTAAATACTCCCTTCTTCCCTCACCCCTCAACTCTGGCCAAAGATGAAGAGGATCAGACGTCTGGCTCAGCTGGAAGCAGCTTTGAAACCTAATCTTACCTGCCTCTTTTACAAGAGGCAGTAAAGCCCAGAGAGAGTCAGTGACTTGCCCCAAACCACCCAGCCATGGGAAGGGGCCAATATAGGCTGGCACCTTCCTTTCTGAATGAGCAGCCTTGGGGTTGCTGGAAGGCTGGGGTTGGGGTGAGAGGAGGGTACCAGGTGACCTTCAGGGAAATGTCTTGAAGCCAAGTTCATTCTACTCCCCACCCCTTCCAGCCTCAATTCATTCTTTAGTGGAGAGAGGTTTCTGGTCCATGGCATTCCCAGTAAGGTTAGGTATGGGGTTTGCAGAAAGGAGTTCTGCTTCCTTCTGCCTGTACCCTCACCTTGGGCTTGTCCTGAGGCATTTATGGAGTAATCCATTTCTTGGCGAAGACCTGGAGCCAACCATCCCCTAGAATCAGCCCTAGGGGTCAGAGTCAGTGGACAGCCGCCCCTGCCATGCACAGACACACACAGGATGAGACATCTTGCTTTTTCTTCATGAATTTCCTTCTGTGGAGCCAAGACTGGATCCTGCCTGGGCTGCTGCCAGAGAAGCATCCAGGGAGCTGAGCGAGGCTGGGCGGTCTTCCTTCGCCCCCAGCTTTGGCGGGCCAAGGACTGCCGAGGCTTGAGCAGGCGTCTATCTTCCAAAGGCCAAAGTGTGGAGGAATGCTCCCTTTCCCCTTTCCCAAAGTACAGGATTGGCTGCACCCAGGAGGTGGTAATGGAGGACAGCGGGCCAGTGTGGGAATGCATCAGGAAAGAATGGAGTTGGCCTGTGGCCAGTGGAGGGGGGGAGGGGAGGGTGTTCCCCCACATTTAGAGGCCCCTGCAAAGGACTGTTTTCCTTAGCATGGCCAGAAAGGGGCATGAGGTCTCTGTGGTTTTTCTCCCCCTTCCCGGCCTGTTCTGTTTTGCTTGCTGTTGGAATGAGTGGGGCTCCCCCTCTATTTTGCATGAAGGAGCCCTAGGCAGAGTGTGTATGGATGGACGCATAAGGTCTGCATACGGGCCTAGGAGCATTGCACGAAGATGTAGATGGCACTTCACAGGCCTCCGTCTGTGAGGGCCAGAGGAGCCCCACGTGCCGGCCCCTCTCCCTGGGAACCTGGGGAGTGGGCAGTCTGTATTTATTTTCCTCCCTAGCAGCTGGGGAGGGGGGCGTGGGGAGCTGCAAGTATGGTTTAGCATGTGTTTGTTTCTGGGGACCCTCCCTGCCACCCTTTGGGCCAAGATGGAACCCTTTGTCCTTCCATCTGGGAGCTGCAAGCCCCAGACCCCCATGACCTTCCCTGTCACCTAACCCTTGCATCCTGTGTAATCATTTCTTCAGACCTCCTGAAACCTACACATAAAACATAAATGGTAAACATTAAATAGCAAAGAAAGAAAATTTGGTGCAGAGAGATTGTCTGGTTTGAGTTGGTCGGGGGTGGTGTGTGTATATCAAGGGACCCATATATAATTTCCAACTTGGCAACTTCTTGTCCTATTTTTCCCTATGCTGGCTTTGTCTTGCTTTTGGTAGCAGTACTGGGATTTGAACTCAGGGATTCACACTTACTAGGCACTAGGCATCTAACTGCCCGAGCCGCACCTCTAAGCGCTTTTGATTCTGGTTATTTTTGATGATAGAGCCTTACTTTTTTTTTTTTTTTTTTGGCCTGGGCCTGCACCCAGACTCCAATACTATTTATGTTTCTTGCCAGCTTTTCCTGTTGAGATGGGTCTTTTGAACTTCTTTGCCCAGGCCTGAGCAAAGATTGAGGAACCACAATCCTCCTGATCTCAATCCTCAGCCACATACCCCCCATCTCTTTGCCAGTCCTGGGCTTGAACTCAGGGCCTGGACATTGCCCCTGAGCTTCTTTTGGCTTAAGGCTAGCATTCTAGCTCTTGAGCCACAGAGCCACTTCCAGATTTTTCTGTTTAAATGGTACTGAGGAATCAAACTTAAGGCTTCATACCTGCCAGGCCAGCACTTTGCCTCTAAGCCACATTCCCAGCCCCAATCCTCAGCCTCTCGATTAATTAGTATTACAGGCATAAGCCACTAGCATCTGGCTATTTTCTTCTAAGTTGGGGTGTGCCTGAGCTGGGGCTTGACCTTTGAGCCTTCTACTCCTGCTTGGCTTTTTCTACTCAAGGCTAGCACTCTACCACTTGAGCCACACTTCCACTTCCAGCACTTTCCTGGTTCATTGGAGTTATCATAGACTTTTCTGCTTGGGCTGGCTTTGAACCTTGATCTCAGATCTCAGCCTCCTGAGTATCTAGGATTACAAGCACGAGCCACCCACACCTTACTCTCTGCCTACATTTTACAGAACTCTAGCAAGCTCACACAAGTAGTCCTATAAGTGGGAGGGAGAAGGGAGAAGGAATAGGGGCCCTTTGCCCCCAGATCTTGGAGAGGGAAAGTAAAAAACAGCCATGCAGGAAGCTGTCCAGCTGTGAACTTGACCAGATGTCAAAAGTGAAACTGACCACAGGGGAGCCAGAGGCTAGCTAGGAAGGCCAGGTCATAACCCCGCAGCTCCCAGCCACCCACATGGCCTGCGAGACACACACCACATGCACACTCACAGGCAGAGGCACAGGATCTGGCTCCAGATGGCCTGGTGGGAAGCTGGCTGGCTGGCCTGCAGTCAGCCAAGCAGGGTCCTCCCTCAAGGCTCTGGTGAGCTGGTCCTAACTCAGGCTCCGCCTTGCCCGGCTGTGGGTTGTAAGAGCTCCGGGAGTAGCAGGCTAGTGCTCACGTCTGCGGCTGGTCAGTCAGGTGGCTGCTCAGCCTCTGCTGGACAGTGATCAGGTCCTCTGGTGGGCCTGTCTTGTGGTCACTCAGGAAGGCAGGAAGAAAGTTGTTTATTCCCCAGAAAGAACAACAAACAAGCCTTCTGGACTGCAAGATATAGAAAGAAGGGCCAGTTGGTCCAAGAGTCAGTCATGGGGTTACTCTTTGCCCCTACCCCCCCACCTCCAATCAACTGGGGAGAGAGAGCTGGGTGTGGGGCAGAGGGGCACTGTGGTGAGTTCAATGATCTTTGTGTGGGAAAGCCCAGAGTAGTGGGGGCACAGTCTGTCTTGGGGCTTCTTCCTGTTCAATGGAGGAGACAGAACCAGTCCGAGGGTCTGAGTAGAGAGGCCCTCCTGGTGTCCTAAAAGAACCTCCTTTTGGATGAAGTTCAGTCTTCTCTCTAAAGGCGCCTCTGTCTGGTGGGAAAAGCCAGATGCTGTCCTGGGAGAAGGACGGGAGACACAAATCCTGCTTTCAGCAATTGTGTGTTCTTGCCATGGATGGAGGAGGCAGGCCCTGAGTAGTGTAGCGCAAGGATTGCCTGGCGAATGGGGGCCCCCGGCCCAGACTCACCTGCCCTAGGTCAGGAAAGGGACCTGTAAGCTGAGCTCCTGAGGATAAGAGGAGACCTGAGGAAGAGAGGGCTCCAGGCCTAGGAATCAGCTGGCTAGCTGCATCCAAGTCCTTGAAGGGCTGTTGGAAGCCTGGAGCCCAAAGAGGGAAGGGGGAGGGAGAGGGGAGGGAGAGGGTGGAAGAGGAAAGGGGAGGGAAAGGGAAAGGAGGATGGGTCAGGGTTTATACAGTCTGACTGAGGGGCCTGGGCTGCACTTTTAGGACATTGCTGGTGGGGGAGGGGAGGCGCAGAGATGGGTTTAAGCAGTGAGGTGCCACCCACAGATTTGTGTTTCAGGAAAAATTGGTTCTAGCCACAGACTTTGGGGGCCCAGGTCAGGTAGGAGGACAAAGAAGGGACAATAGGGAAGGCAGAAAGGGGGATTCCAAATGGCTCTGAATGGGCTAGGAGGAGGGGAGACTGTTCCTGGAGGCCCAAAGCCTTAAAGACATTGCACCTCCACACACACGAGACAAGCCCTCTTTCCTTTTCTGAGTGTAACCTCCATCCCCTTTCTCCCCCCCACACCAAGTCCCCTTCAAGAGCTAAAATGCTCACCGGCTTCCCACCCCTGGGGTGGGATGTGGTGTGAGGTTTCTAGCATACCCCCAGACTTGCTTTGCTCCAGCCAGTCTCTTTCCTCTGTGTGTCCCCTTCAACCAGCCTTCTTAGAATTCTCTAAACTTTGCTATTCCCTCTAGCCACAGGACCTTTGAACATACTTTCCTTCTATCTAGAACAGTTTGTTTCTCAAGTTACCTTAGTGCAGTGCTTCCTTGGGGAAGCCCTAGCTGAACCTTGGGCCAAATCATATTCCTTGATTCCAGCTTCAGAGAACATCATGGGCCCTTCTTTCCTCGCTCCTTCTTTTTAATTTTTCTCTCTCTCTTTCCATGTTTCTGGTATTTGGACTGAGGGTCTTATACTTGATAGGCCAATGCTCTATACCACTTGAGCTAAGCCCCCAATTCTCCACTCCTTTTCTTTAGAACAGCTCATTTGTCTTCTAAATCAAGCACCCATCTGAGAGATTGTTTGATTACTATAACCTTCAGTAAAGCAGAGACAGGCTCTGGTTTTTCTCAGCTTCTAATCCTTAACACTTTGCCCGACATACAGCTAGCACCCAATATAACCACGCTGAATACACAGCTCCGTCCAATAGAAATAGAACACCTGTGACGTGTATGGACTTTATATTTATTTAGTCACCACATCACACAATTAAAAAGAAACATGTGAGCTATAACTAAATTCAGCCTAATAGATCTAAAGTATCGTGTCAACGTATAATCAATATTTGCAGTGGGATATTTTAGCTATTTTTTGTCCTAAGTTACCAAAATAATCTTCTTTCTACCTATTAGAATTTTAATTTATTTTTGATTGTTGGCTTATTTATTTCTCATGCCAGCACTGTGGCTTGAACTCAGGGCCTCACGCTCTCGCTTGACTTTTTCATTCAAGGCTGGTACTCTACTACTTGAGCTACACCTCTACTTCCAGCTTTTTGCTGGTTCATTGGAGATAAAAGTCTCACATATTTGTCTGCCCGGGCTGGCTTTGTACTGTGGTTCTCAGACCTCAGCCTTCTGAGGATCCAGGATTATGGGGGTGAGAAACCAGTACCCAACTTCCATCTCAGTTGGAAGCAGGCACATTTCAAATCCCAATAATTGTGTGTGGTTGTTGGCTACTACATTGGACAACTCAAATCCAGAGATATGTGCTTCCCAGAGAGTAGAAATTCATCTGGAATCCTAGGGAGCTCAGAGGATAGTGCTTACTACCTCCTGGGTCACTCTTGGGCCTAACACCTACAGTCTTCCCCTCTAACTCCCTCCTCCCTCTCCCATGCAACTGCCAATAGGCTATAGGCCAGAGAGAGCTCTCCCAGATACGACCCTTTATCTTTACCGGTCCATTGGCCCCCATTCCTTCCCCTGGTGCCTCCCTCCCCTCTGTTAGCCAGCGTAATGAAGAAGCCTTGGAACAACATACACAGTTTCTGTGTGCAGAGGGGAGGGACTCTGAGCCTATAGCTCAGGATAAGAAGGGGACAGACTGGTGCTGGAGTCAAGAGAAGACATTTCCCATGATGCTCTGGGCTAGGGGGGGTCTGCTGACCATATGCCTGGAGGATGCTGCTCCTCTGATAATGCAAAGCAGATCCTCCCCACTTCTGTGGCAGCTGGTGGGCAGAAGGCCAGGGGACAAGGCTAGGCCCCCAGGCGTCTGGATATACAAGAGCCAAGGCAAGGAGAGTTCTTTCTTCAGCTTCCTGTCCCCTATGCCCCTCTCCAACTCCTCCCAACACCCCTGCCCTCCTGCTGACCCTTCCCAACCACAAACCAGATGCCCTTCAGCCAAGACAGAGCCCTGGATCCAACTTGCTGCCCAGCTCCCTCAAAGTGGGCCGGCTATTGTCAGCACTCACCCCCAGGGTCTCTAAGAGCAAGGCTTCTATTCAGACCCTGGGTGGCCCTCATTAGCCTCACATACAGGGTGAGTCCTCCAAGTCCCAACTAACTGGAAGTCAGGGTTTTCTGCAGTTATTCCCATTTCCCAGAATGCCCCAGCCCCATCACCATCCTGGAGGTGAGGCCCGGATCATTTCCCAGAGGCTCCATCCCAAAATACTCAGGAACATTCCAGTTCTCACGCCTCATCTCTCCCCTGGTACTCAGCATCTGGGTACTTCCCAAACTCCCTTCCCAGTCATCCCTGTTCTCGTATGTTCCCAAAGGGCTCCCAGGAGCCATGGGTTTGGGTCACCTCACTAGCTGGGAGTGCGCCCTTTGGAAAAGTCTAGGAATTCCATCCGCTGTCTTATAGTCCAATGACTCAGTAGGAGCCCGAAGCCCCTTGAGAAGCCCTTGGCCTGGGGCTTAACATCCACAAACCAGGGGCCCCAACCATAGTCCAGGGCCTGAAACTTCCATTGCCAGGACAGATGGTTCTCATTCTGC